CATCCTGTGTTTTAAAGACATGCTATCTCTTTCAAAGAACATCTGTCAGACGTATATTAATTAGTTAATTTTTCTGCATGGAATGTAAACACAAGGGTGGAGAGCTCAAAGCCCCGAGGGTCCGATGTGGTGTGTGGCCGAGTAATTATTTTGGGGTAAYGCAGAGATGTGGCCTGTGCTCAGTCTGTAAAGGCAAGAAACAGGTTTGCTACCAGAGACAGTCAGTTTGTGCTGAAGGCTGAAGTGAAATTGTCTTGGTGTGGGCAGTAGAGCCTGTGTCATAGACACACTGTAGAGATGGCACTTCCAAACTTTCTAATCCARAGGTGCTGCTGGCAGTGTTGCTGAAGGATGTTTAAATTCAATTTTTAATTCAGAGTATTAAGTAGTTTAAGAGTGGGAGAAAGCATGCACGGAGTATTTTTATGTTGAAGGAAAATTGGAGGAATAAATTTGTTAGCCAGTAGCACCACATTTCACTCCTAACCTGGGGATCCCTGGATAATTCTCATGTGGTTCACACTGCGGACCAGATCTGGGATTTTTGTGTGGTGATCTTGGGTGAACATCTTTWGCTGTCACTGTGAGCCTTGAATCAGATATATTTTGTGTGATAGCAAGAAAYAGGTTTTGTGTGAGGGGACTGTGASCTGATGTTCACAGACAGCAGTGGGGCTGGAGAAGAGCTTGGTGTGAGTTTTGGGGCCAAGTTCAGTGCTGGCAGCAGKGCAGAGGAGTGAACTGAAACAGGGCTGTGCAGATGTAGGTGSAGGACAGGGATTCCCAGAGGGTTCCCCAGTCCTGGAGCACATCACTGGCATTGGAGCATGTCTGGCCACTGGGACATTCAGAAATCCTGCTAAGGSAGGGTCCTCCCTGCCAAATCCCTCCTTGGCACCTCTGCTTCTCTGGGGCTGAGCTGTCACCAGGCTCACCTGGGTTCCGTTTCTGACTCCATGTGGGAGAGCTGCCCCTCCACCTTCCACAAGTCTCAGAAACAAAATGCATTATTTTTCTTTCTCCCCGTCCTTGCAGGAGAAAGTTTTGGGTTTCTGCAGGTTGCACCAAAGCCATGTTTAACTTCCACCATCTGTCTTTACTATTTCTGCCTTTCCTTATACGATTTGATTTTTTTTTCCAATTTGTTTCCTGGCTTCCAGTCCCTTTGGTAATGTTTTCAGCATGGACTGTTAATGTGTCCCAACAGGAGCAACCCTACTTGTATTTTCTTTTCGGAGCAAGGATTAGAGAATATYCCTTATCCCTTCCTTGTTTTTCTCACACCTTTTTGGTTTCTTCTTTTTCCCATCCTTTTCCTACGGAGCTGAATTCCACTGATTCACAAGTTTTAGCAGGGGCAGAGGAGCCTGAAGGCTCTGAATTGCTCTCTGGGTGATGGGTCTTTTCCCTCCYCCTTGGAGGACTGGAAGATGACTACACTCTAAATTTTTCTCTTCATTTGGTGGATGCTTCATGGTCTGTATGCAGCTCTGTAACCATTAGCACAGGAAGGACCTGGAGCTGCTGCAGCCAGGCCAGAGGAGGGCACGGAGATGCTGCCAGGGCTGGAGCCCCTCTGCTCTGGAGCCAKGCTGGGAGAGCTGGGGGTGCTCACCTGGACAAGAGAAGGCTCCAGGGAGAGCTCAGAGCCCCTTTTGGGGCCTAAAGGGGCTCCAGGAGAGCTGGACAGGGACTGGGGACAAGGGCTGCAGGGACAGGACACAGGGAATGGCTTGGCAGTGCCAGAGGGCAGGGATGGATGGGATATTGGGAAGGAATTGCTGTCTGGGAGGGTGGGGAGGCCCTGGCACAGGGTGCCCAGAGCAGCTGTGGCTGCCCCTGGATCCCTGGCAGTGTCCAAGGCCAGGCTGGACATTGGGGCTGGGAGCAGCCTGGGACAGTGGGAGGTGTCCCTGCCCATGGCAGGGRTGGAGTGAGGTGGTTTTTGAGCTCCCTTCCAASCACAGTGTTCAGGGATTCTCTGAGTTGTGTAATCATGCAGTGAAGTGCAGATGAGTACCAAAGGCTTTTTTTTTAAAACCACACATTGTTTTGCCATACCCGTCCGACCAAATAATCAGAAAAATGCCTCAAGGAGAAGGAGAGGTGGCATTCACCCTCAGCTGGGGATGTGTGGAACACCGTGTATCACGAGACAGCSAGTGGAGTCACGACTCTGGCAGCAGCACTAGGAAGAGGATTTTCTTGCTGGGGCTCGTGGTTTCCTTGCCTGGCTGGATAAAATAAAACCTGCCAAAGCAGCGGCAGCGAGCTCCCATCTATCTGTTCTCATGCTCCCAGCAGCTTCTGCCTGAATTATTCATGCTCAGTAAGTGATCTGCAAACAGCTCCTGTGATCTCCCTGTGATCTGTGGGTACGCCAGACTCACCCCTGCTTAGGTCAGGGCATTTTCCTTATTTCCTTCCCCGCAGCAGGGAGTCTGTGGGAATCTCCAGATTCCTCACCGCCTCTTTCTGATTAGCCCAGACGTGTATTTATTATTTACGTGGCAGGATTTGCTCGGCTGTCCCAGGCACACGGTATTATCAGTGGATAAGCAAGAAGACTCGCTGCAAACATCTGTAGTTGTTGCTTGACAAATCCTGTTTRTATAAATAATATTAAGGAGCTGCAGAGGCTGCTGTGGAGTAAATACCCCTGTGACTGAAGGCAGCACTGCCGGCTCTTCACCTGCATGTGCATCTCAATAGAGATTTACTGGGCTGTTTTACATATTTATATATGAAATATTTCAGTTTAGCTTTTTAGTCCCTTCCAACCCAAATTATTCTGTGATTCCACTGTATGTGTATACATGTTTTATGTATTTTCCTGCTTTTCACGAGCTCTTGTCTTTATTTCAGCTTTTAATTTTTTCTTCTGATTTGCTCACCAAAGTGGGTTGGCATCTAATCTTTATTKCAGTTTTTAATTTTTTTCTTCTGCTCTGGTCATGGAAGTAGGTTGGCAAAAGCAGTGAGAAGGGCAGTTTATGGGCAGGTGACTGGCAGATATTCTGTGTGCTTTGCTATCCTCATCATTAATGAAATGGGCTGTAGGTCCATCTCTTCCACCATGCCCACCCAGGTACATCTGGGATCTGCCCCTCCAGTACCATCTATTTCAACCACTCTCTATTTTGGGGTGAGGACTGRGATGCCTCAGGAACCATTGCCAAGTTGGAGTTAATCCTCTGAGTGATGAACACGGCACCCCCAGCTCCCTGTCCCCAGCTGAAGGTGTAATTTGGGGTGAAAAAAGCTCCATTTAGGCTACCTGCTTTTTGCCTAGGATATTCCTCACCTATGACATAACCGGGGTGCAGTGAGTTTGTTAAAATGTCCTGTCTCTCTGCATTCTGGAAAGAGGATTTTCTATTAAACCTTAGGGAAATTACTGGCCTTGTTAACTAGTGTGGAAGTAATGAACCACAGCAGGGTGACTCGGGAGATTTGGGCCCTCGCTTCGTAAGGCTGCATTGTTTCTTCAAATGAGAGAAATAATTTAAGCAAACAAACGAACAAAGAATTTCTGGAAATTAAAGTACGGTACAAATGGGATGATTTGCTCATCCTCTGTTTAATAGGAGCGGTGCAGTGAACAATTGTGTGGTCGACCTCAGAAATCTATCCATGGTAACTAGTCACAGGAGAGAAAAATAGACAGCCTGCCACCAACTTGGTATTAAAGTTCTATTTTCCGTTTTTTCCACGGTTGCGGGCCAGTCAGGGACTTTCCATGAGCAGTCAGCACAGCAGAAATCCCCTTCTGCTCCCAAGCAGCCACCTCTGCTGAGCAATCAAAGGTGGTTTTTTTACTGATTTTTGCTGGGGTTTGGTCCCAGTTTTTGRTGGCAGAAGGCTGGGGGGCAGACCCTTCCTGCCAAGTGCGTCCTGCTGAAACAGGGCTGTCATAGACTCACAGCCCCATTTGGGCTGAAAGGGAGCCCAAAACCATCCACTTCCACCTCCTGCCATGRGCAGGGACACCTTCTACCTGATTGGGCTGTTCCAGCCTGGCCATGCCCCTTCCACCCCGTGGCTGAGGTGTGTTTGTGGTGGGGTCTGGTGAAGGAACCTCTACCATGTACTGGATGTTGAATCTCTGATGGGGTTTGAGGTCTGTGCAAGCCCTGCACGACCCCAGTGGCTTTGGGTGGATCCTGCAGCGCCCAGAGGAAGGACAGAAAGAGGCTGCCAGGCTGGAGTTCATCCAGAAATAAATAAAGCACAAATACTGGGCCTTCAGGCTTTATGGTCTGTTCCTCAAAAGACAATTTTGGAAAGGATCCTGTCCTTTGTTCTTCCATTAGGCAGCTGAGGAGAGACCATTGTTTTCCTCCCCTCATCTGTTCCCCTTGTAGGGGAAGAAGGAGGACTTGGCCTCCCTGAGCCGGGCATCCCAGGGGAGCTCCCCAAACAAAGGGCTGCTTGGAGGAGGACACTGTCATCCTGTCCCTGTCATCCCCTTCCCTGCCTTCACCCTGCCCTGGCACGGCTGGACGCGCCCGCGGCTGGGAGTGTGGGGAGAGCAGCSTTCCTCGCCTTCCTCCCTGGAAACCCGGCTGGCTCCTCTTATCTCCGGGTTTATTGCTGCCTGCAGGCTCGGCAAGGCAGCCCTGCTGGGCTTTGTGTCCTGCCAGGCAGCTGTGTGAGCCCTGCTATGGGCTGGCAGCATGACTTGTTGGGGTGTGCTGGCTTGGGCAGCGCAGTGCTCCTGAGGAATGTCATTTTGGTGTTCCTGCATGGGGACGGAGGGTCTGGGGACACATCCCAGTTTAATTTGTCTCCTGTGCGCTGCAGGCATCCATCCTGCTCTGCAGRGAAGTTGTTGTGGGCTGGAGAGCATCTCCTCAGCTCCTTGAGTTAATTCCCCATTCGGGAAAACTTGGCTGGCACATGGAGCTGGAATGGATTTGGGTTTATTTGTTTCAATTACAGGTTGCATAGGTTTATTTACAAATAACTGGACTAAGACCAAACTATCTTGTTTTGCCCAGGCTCSAAGACTGACCCTGCTGAGAGCCCCTGAGATACTGAACTCTATGAGCGGAGACCACTTGACTGCACTCAGCACCTTTCAGGATCACGCTCTAGGTAATTATTTTAATTCTCTGCTTGGATGATGGGGGAAATTTGGTGTTCTGGGCTATACAGACCATCTGAAATCATATTCCTAGTTGTTCATCCCATGAACCTGTGGATTTTTTTTCCCTCCTACTGAARGCTGTCACTTTAGATCAGTGGCTTGACACGGCAGTAAAACCACTGTTCCCTCAAACATAAAAATAAATTACCTGATTTGCTTCCAGAGGGGAAATTATGGAATGATTTGTGTTGGACCAAAGACCATCTAGTCYGACCCCTTGCAACGAGACGTATTCAGCTAGGTCAGGTTGCTCAGAGTCCCATCCAAACTTAGCTTGATTATTTCCAGGGGTGGGGTATCCACCACCTCTCCAGGCAGCCAGAATTGCTGGATCACCGTTCTGGTAATGGTCACCAGCTCTCGTGCTTGGGAAGCTCTCCTGGAGCTAACTTGAAGAGAGCTGTAAAAACAAGCAATCAATATCAGAAAAGGTTTTCACTCCCATCAAAGGCTTAGAATACCAATATTTGTTGGCAAGGATGCTTGTTCAGGCCAGGCTTTTAAGAATTGCTCGAAACCTACAGCTGCAGGAGTCTGCTTTTAAAAATAAATACAGCATCTGTTTTATCTGGTTTTACAGTAGCTGCATTCTCTGCTCCAGACATGGCCTCACTGTTGTGCCTTTGAGGAACTTTAAATCTTTGCTTCAAGGTGGATAGATGGAAATCAAAGAGCCTGGGGCCTGGCACTGTCCTGCTCCACACCCTCATGGAGATGTGGTGTCAGCCTGGTTCCTTGCCTGGGGTGTGTGGGCAGGATTAGACCCAAGATTYGTGCTTTTATCCCAGCAAGGGCAGCTCAAAAACAGAGCATGAGCTCGAGGGGTGAGGATCTCAGGGGTGGGTTTTAAGAGGGGTAAGAAGGAAGCCAGCAGGATGCTGGGGATGTTACTCCAYAGCACTGAGGATGAAGGATTTCCTGTAGGATTGACTTCCTGAGTGAGATGAAATTCCACAAAAAAATTCTCTATGCTGGTAAAAGTACCAGTCAACAGAAGGTTATCCTTTATAACCTGACTTGCTGAGTTTTTCCCAAGTTGATAAAAAACAGCTCCACACTGATTTCAGCAGAGGTTAAAGTCCAGCTCTCCAGCAGACCAGGGTGGCATGAGGGCAGATGGTCTYGCTGGCCAATCTCTGCTGTTTGTGCAGGAACAGAGGACGTTKCTCCATCCCCCGCAGCCCTGTATGGTGACATTTTCAGGACCCAGGCAGGAGGATGTTGACTGGGTTGTTTCCTGTTTTGACAATCTCCATTTCAAATCCTCTGTAACGCCRCATTGTGCAGGGAATTAAACACCACAGCCCATGGCCTTCTCCCCTGAATATTGCATCAGGGAGCTAAGCTCATGTTTCCAGTGGGGAGGGAGAAGACACGGATGGTGAAACAGGTTAAGAAAGTGAAAGAGAGGAGAATGAAGAATGAGAAAGAARAAATATGTTCACTGTCAGGGCTGAGATGCGATGTTTTTCCTCATCCACTCAGAATTTGTGGGAATGGGGTGCTCCCTCGGTGCCAAAACTCATGTGCTTTGTGTTTAAACTGCTGCTGTCAAAGCTCGGAGAATAACTAAAACAAAAAGGTCGCAGGTCAAGTGGATGTTTTCCAATTGACCGGAGCTCAGTATAAATCCTGGGGAAGGAAATAACCCAACAAACATCCACCAGCCCTGTGCCTGTGTCCCCTGCTCYGGTGCTGGCTGCTGGTGGCAGGTCCTGCTGGGATGCCACTGGCAGGCAGCTGCCTCAGCATCCCCAAACATCCCTCWGGCAGCATGCCCTCCCTGATCAATTTTTGTGCAAATTTGACAGAATCAGACCCTGATTAGGTCAGCAATTGGGAGGGTTGAGAGGTTGCTCCAGGAAGGAGAGAAAACACCTGCCTGTGAGGAACCTGGGCTGTAGGCTCACCCTAAGTCCCTGCAGCACATCTGCAGCTGAGGACTGATGTTCGCTGCTCAAAATCCAGTGGGTTTGGGTGGGCAATGCTGCCTGGGAACATCCAGGCAAATGTGGAAATCCAGGCAGYGAGTGGCAGAACGAGAGGACACAGTCTKAAGCTGTGCCAAGGGAAGTATAGGTYAGATATTAGTKAAAAGTTCTTTGCAGAAAGAGTGATAAAGCATTGGAAAGGTCTGCCTGGGGAGGGGGTGGAATCGCCATCCCTGGATCTGTTTAGAAAAGGATCGAATGTGGTACTTGGTGTYGTGGTTTAGTTGAGGTGTCAGGGCATGGGTTGGACTGGAAGATCTTGGAGGTCTCTTCCAACCCTGATTCTATGATTCTGTGATTTGGTGATTCTGCGATTCTGTGATTCTCCGATTCTGTGATTCTGTGTCTCTTGCACGGSTTCACATCGCCCCTCGCTAAGTCCCCCAGAGGTTTCGGTGTGGCCAATTGCTCTTCCAGGAGTTGTAACCTGAAAATAGGGATAGATAAAGGCAAAATGTTCTGGGAGCCATGCCAAGCCAAAGGCACTGAGTTGTTAAGAGATCTGTATCTCGATAAAGGATTTTTTTGCTCTTTATCAGCTTTTAAGAGAAAATACAATGTTTGCAGGAGCAGATTGGGATCATCCTAAGGAATGGAGCTCTCCTTTTTAAATTGTATTGCTTTTATTATTATTATTTTAATAATAATAATAATATTTCCTCTGTTAAGCCATATATGAGAATGTTATTTGTGTAGGAACTGGAAATGAACCTGAAATKATCAGCGTATTTTTTAAAGGCACTTTACAAGTCATTTGGCATTGGAAAAGGTACAACTATCCATCAAAGCAGGGCTTGGGGATAAAATAATTAGAAATCACACAACCATAGCAAAGGAAGATTAGTGCTAAAATTAGAAGCCATAAAGTTGTTTTTAGATTAGGCTGGAATCTGGGCAGGCTGCTTTATTGTACCCTGTTACTTTAAAAAATGCAAGGTGAGGGGTGTGAATTGTCTGCATTTGGTTGTGTCCCAGTGGAAATGCTGCTGTGAGTGTTAGTTGGGATGATCCATGAGGTGATTCTCAGGGAAATCCTTTGGGGATGGAGGTACAGTCCCTTGTGAAACAGAGATGGGGTAAGTGCTGAGCTCTGCCCCACAGGGGTGTCCCCATAAGGTTGGTTTGCTCCTAGTTTTGTTTTGGGGTTGTAGTGGCCAAGTACCCACACTGCACCCAGGAAAGGTGGTGAGATGGCTGGAATTGGGAAAACTGGGAATTGAAATTGGAATTTCCTCCCACAGGTGGGGTGGGTGCGAGTTGGAGCAGCTGTGGTCACCAGACCTGAGCTGTGTCCCTGGGGCCAGACAGCAGCCTCAGATGGGCACAGACCATGGGTCTTCATCACTTTGATTGTCTGCTGGAATAGGAATGAAACCTCTATCAGAGACAATCACAAAATTGATCAAAGGACAGGTTAGGAGAGCTGGGGGTGCTCACCTGGACAAGAGAAGGCTCCAGGGAGAGCTCAGAGCCCCTTTTGGGGCCTRRAGGGGCTYCAGGAGAGCTGSACAGGGACTRAGGACAAGGACAGGACAAAGGGGAATAGTTTTATGCCAAGAGGGGAGATCCACACTGGAGAGAARGAAGAARTTKTTGGTGATGAGGGTGRTGAGGCYCTGGCACAGGTTGCCCAGAGGGGTTTTATGTTCCTTTTTATGTTAAATGCCTTTGGGAAAAAGGGTCTTTATGCTAAAGCCTTTCTGGTACAGCTGGAAGGGTGTAACTTGAACAAGAGTTGGGAGAACAAGGTCAGGCACTTCCAGGTGCTTTCACCAAGGAAGATGACAAGCACCCAGGGGAAGGCGCCTTCTTCAGTTCTGGGACCTTTAGGTTGGAGAATGGTGGATTTCTGGGAGAGAAACTTGAATTTTGTGGGATGTGCTGCCTAAATATGGGCACAGTTAGGTGAAGCCCTTCCCCTGGTCCCAGCAGAGGTGCCAAATGCACAGGTCTCAGTTCCCCTGTGGCTGGGAAGCACCAGCCCCGTGTGACCACCCACAGCATCTTGCCTGCACGTGCATCTCCCGAAACCTGCGGGGRAAAAGTGGAGTTGAGCAGACTGCCTGCTCCCCCCAGCACGTTCCCTGCTGTGCTTCCAGCTCAGTGAAAGCAGGACAACTCCTCACCGACTCTTTGTAGCCCGAGAACAGAGCCTTGGAAAAGTCCGGCAGCGGGAACTTTACTAATTCCAGCTAATGACTCCGGAATACTGACTGAGGGGAACAATTCCGCATCGTCAAAAGTCGCAGACAAAAGAAATGCTCTGCATTGTAATAGCAAACGAAGCTGGGTTTGATCTGATGGAGCACCTTTCATATTGCGAGCGTTTCAAAGCCCTTGGCAGAGTAATGAGCTGTGTGCTGACAGCGGGGCCGCTGGACYGGGCTTTGTGTGACCGACAATAGCCAGCACAGCTGTTGGCACAGGACCTGCTCGTGATGGGAGAGGGGATGTATGGTGGCAGGGATGTTTGGGTTATCCTGCRCTTTCCAGGGTTTTTTAGTGCTGTTGGATCTCTGGCTGTTGTTTGGATGGGCCCTGGAGGGCGATCAGGCAAGCTCTGCTGTTCTTCCTTAAAGGGGGCTGAGAAAGAACATACAGACAGAGGTTGTAGTAGGGCCTGCAGTGAGAGGACAAGGGTTGGGGGTTTTAAATTAAAAGCAGAGAGATTCAAAGTAGATATGATGAAGAAGGTCTTCATGATGATGCTGGGGAGGCCCTGGCACAGATTTCCCAGAGCAGCTGTGGCTGCCCCATCCYTGGCAGTGTCCAAGGCCAGGCTGGACATCGGGGCTTGGAGTGACCTGGGACAGTGGAAGGTGTCCCTGCCCATGGCAGGGGGTGGAATTAGAAGATCTGTAGGGTCTCTCCCAACCCAAATCATTTCAGGGTTCTGTTAAACAGGGGTGGAGGAACATGCTCGGACACACACAAGGATCCGTTGGCACAGCCGAGGA